TTGGGCATGATTAGAATGTAAAAAAGCCTGACCATATCACAGAAGAAGTACCTAATAATATCAGACAAAAATTGTAGAAAGGTTGTTAGAGAGTAGGAGATGAAAGGAACATGTCCACCATTCCCGCTGACTGCCGATTAACTCTAATGGTGTTAAAGAGCTCTTTCCTTTAACGTCTTTACTTGCGCCTGATGTCGTGGTATTTTCTCTATCATGAGATCTGTCATTCACAGGGGGATGGCAACACTTTTCCATGAATCCAGGTTGAACTTGAATTTCTCCCATTCAGCTTCAAGTTCGGCCTTCTTGACTTTTTTCTCTTGTGGTTTCTCTTCTTGAAAAAAGTGATTGGCTAGGATCCTTGTGGGAAATTCTGACTAGAAAGAGGTTCAACAAGTGGAGGAGTAATTCGTCGTTTAATCAAAATGGCGACTCAAGCAAACATGTCTCTCCCCCAAGGCCCTTTCTAATTACAGGCTGGTGTTCCACATGGAATCCATTAATAATGATGTCCTTAGTCCAAAACGATTATAAACAGTAATAATACAATTCTAAGGTTCTAATGAGAAACAGTAATAGTCATTAATAGAGTTCAGACATCCTCTGGAGGGGGGGCATGAAGCTGCCGGGCCCAGTCCAGAATACGATCCTTGGCTCTGTGTGCCACTATCTGCTGACTTCTCCTAGGTGCTAGCTGCTGTGGTGGCTCCGAATCCACTATCTGCTCCCTTAGTCCAGGGTCCACTGCTACAACTTCCAGTGGGTACAATTTGGTAATGGGTTGATTGGTACATCCCTTGGATGTACTCAGATGAACTGTGTCAGATGTCTACGCCTCTAATGAGTCCTTCCACTACTCCTAGTCTCCATTTTAGACGACTCCTTTCATCACTGTAGATTTGTACCACATCTCCTATTTTGACGATGGTGTCACCAGTGGTACCACTGGCCTTGTGGAAGTCGGTTAGTGAGGTTGAGTATTCTGTCGCCAGTGCTGCCAGAAATGCTGTGTGAGTAGTGCTATAAGGATTGCATTTCTTCATAACCGTTTCTCCATAGCCCGGGTCTGACAACTCACCACCTTCTACTTCTGGGTGACAGGGGCTGGTAATTCATTGACCGTAAAGAAGTTGAGATGGCATGTGTGGTTTGTCATCTTCAAAGTCTGATGAAAGGTGGGTCAGGGGTCAATCATTCAGAGCTGCCTCCATCTCTACCACGATGGTCTGTAGGGTAATCAAGTTGACTGAAGGCCTTCTGAGTACCTTCTTCAACACTGTCTTGGTCAAACCTATTAGCCTCTCCCAAATCCTCTGTACCATGGGGCTGTCTTTGGAATAAATTTCCAATAACACTGTGCCTTGCGGATACTTCCTTCAGTGTCAGTGAACTAAATAGTTCCATTAGTTCGCCCACTGCATATTGATAGGTGAAGGCATTTTCAGATATCATCACTGCCTGGGAGGGACCATTGGGCTGCAGATTATCGAAAGGCGAGTAAGAATGTTCCAATTGACAAGTCACTGACAACTTTGAGGCGTACAGCCTCGTGGATGCACAAGTAAATAGGTATACATACACTTTATTGAGCATCCCTTCTGAGTACCTTCTTCAACACTGTCTTGCTCAAACCTATTAGCCTCTCCCAAATCCTCTGTACCATGCGGCTGTCTTTGGAATAAATTTCCAATAACACTGTGCCTTGCGGATACTTCCTTCAGTGTCAGTGAACTAAATAGTTCCTTAAGTTCGCTCACTGCAGATTGATAGGTGAAGGCATTTTCAGATATCATCACTGCCTGGGAGGGACCATTGGGCTGCAGATTATCGAAAGGCGAGTAAGAATGTTCCAATTGACAAGTCACTGACAACTTTGAGGCGTACAGCCCCGTGGATGCACAAGTAAATAGGTATACATACACTTTATTGAGCATCCCTTCTGAGTACCTTCTTCAACACTGTCTTGCTCAAACCTATTAGCCTCTCCCAAATCCTCTGTACCATGCGGCTGTCTTTGGAATAAATTTCCAATAACACTGTGCCTTGCGGATACTTCCTTCAGTGTCAGTGAACTAAATAGTTCCTTAAGTTCGCTCACTGCAGATTGATAGGTGAAGGCATTTTCAGATATCGTCACTGCCTGGGAGGGACCATTGGGCCGCAGATTATCGAAAGGCAAGTAAGAATGTTCCAACTGACAAGTCACTGACAACTTTGAGGCGTACAGCCCCGTGGATGCACAAGTAAATAGGTATACATACATACAATTTATTGAGCATCCCTTAAAAGGGCTTTTCAGCATCAATATTAAAATCAGATTAAATAAATCAAATGGATGAATAAATTAATTATTTAATTAAATAATTTTAAAAAACTCTGTACAACAATAACTAAATAGTAACTTTTACAAATTTCAACATCTAATCTAGTTCATCTTACAAATCAGTTCATTAATTAGACGTCTCTTAAAAACTTTTGTACCCATGATTTCCCTTAAGTC